TGAACAACCAACTATTCCAGCATACTGTATGCTTTACACAGTGGATGCCCTTCTAGCTGCAACCCAGTACTGGGAAACACTCATTCACACACACACTCATTGGGTTTTTTCACATTTGACCCAACGTTAGGTTAAATCAACCCACTGTTTGTCAGCACCAATAGCCTAGTTGTTGAGTGCACCAACATATAGCGGCATGGTGCTCACGGCGACCTGGGTTTGATTCCCGGCTCAAGGTCTTTTGCTGACCCTTCCCTTCTTTCTGTTTCCAATACTTTCCTGTGTGTGACCTCCACTATCCTATCCAAATTAAAGGTGGAAAACCCCTAAAAATAATTATAAAAAAGAAGAAACCAAAAAAACAACCCAGCATGTAATAGAGCACGCTTTCATTTCTCAATAGTGGAGTTTGTTTTTGCAAGAAGTTCCTGCTTCAGACTGTGTATTATTATTTAATATAATGCCCTGCTTACACTAAAATGGACATTATTTAAAAACTGTATGGCATTTTTCAAACCAACATTGGGTTTAAAAACCATCCGGCGTTCTTGTAGAGTTCCCCATTTCTTCATGATTAATCGGCATTTACACTTATGTTCCTCTTATTGTTTATTTACACCTTATATTGAAGGATATTTCTGAAGTCAAAGGTATCATCACACTCATATATATATGCTGGGTTGTTTTAACTCAGTGTTGGGTCAAATATGGACAAATTGGGTAAAAAATTATTTTAGTTTAATTGAAAAAGTTATGGTGACGCGGTGGCACAGTGGGTAGTGCTCTCAGCCTCACAGCAAGAAGGTCTCTGGTTTGAGTCTCGGCTGGGTCAGTTGGTGTTTCTGTGTGGAGTTTGCATGTTCTCCCCGTGTTGGTGTGGGTTTCCTCCGGGTGCTCCGGTTTCCCCCACAGTCCAAACACATGCGCTATAGGGGAACTGATCAACTACACTGGCACTAGTGTATAAGTGTGTGTGTGTGTGTGTGAATGAGTGTGTACAGGTGTTTCCCAGTACTGGGTTGCAGCTGGAAGGGCATCCGCTGTGTAAAACATATGCCGGAATAGTTGGCGGTTCATTCCACTGTGGTGACCCCTGATTAATAAAGGGACTCAGCTGAAGGAAAATGAATGAATGAATGATGAGTTATTTCTAAAATTAATGTAATGAAATCTCAGTCAAAGTAACTGTGTGTGTGTGTGTGTGTGTGTGTGTGTGTGTGTGTGTGTGTGTGTGTGTGTGTGTGTGTGTGTGTGTGTGTGTGAGAGAGAGAGGCAAGGCAAGGCAAGGCAAGGCAAGTTTATTT